ACCTGGGAAATAGGATGCTGCAGGGGCTTAGGGTTCAAAGTACCAAATGCTTGCTTGTAAGTATAGCTGGGGAGGGGAAGCATTTTTATCAAATTCAGCTCCTGGAAGATGATCCAGTCTCCAGATGTTTATCCCTTTACCTGCTTTCCTTTTTTATACCAAGTTTACGTTTACCAGAATTGGATGGACTCCCTGAGTACGGCTTCAGCTCTGAACCGTTCCTCGAGGCAGCTCTAGTTAGAGTTAGGGGCAGAGCCCAGAGGGAGGGACATGGGAAACATTGTGGTGGCAAAGGCAGTGGAGCAATGGAGAGATTAACAGTCTCATTGCTCCTACGCTGCAAATATGTGCCATCTCTGTTCTCCACCCACAACAGCCACCTCCTGTCCCCCTTCAGGGGGTGCTCGTAAGTAAGCACGTGGGCGGGGGCATCCCGACTTGAGAGGGCTTTCATGAGAGTTGCATTTTCTAGAATTTGATCACCGCAAGGCATCTTTCAGTAGAATTGGTATAAAAACGCAACAGCCATTTGACCAGTGTGGCACCCAGGCAGAAGTCATGGGGGACCTGAAACAGACCTTAGCCCAGCACCATTGACAGCAGGAAGTAAGCTTCTGGTTGGACCTGAATGCTGCCCTCAGCCTCCCAGGAGGATGAAAGAAGCTCATTTAGACACAACAGAAACCTGAGCTTGTCTACTCTCAGGGCTTACACAACAGAAGCTTTGGAGAAATACCCTTTTCTTGTGTGGCGACCAAGTACACACATATCTGTATGGTGTATATGTGAGCGAAAGAGAAGTTTCACAGAACAGTTCTTATATGTGACGCCCTCCGATTTTTTAAAATCAGTCTTTACCTTTATAAAACGGATATCACAACTTACGTGATTTCACGACCCACGAGTGGGTCACAGTAGTTGAAAAACACGGTTCTGATGTATAATATTGTGGGAGCATTGGTAGTCCTTTCCAAGTGAACATCATACTTTTACCTGATACCATATCTTACTGTATTATTTCTCTCTTTTATGATTAAGTGATAATTGTAGAGAGTTATTGACATAGGGTGGTATAGGCGTTTTGGGGGAATCTTTGTGGTGAATATATAATTCCAAATTAAAGCTAGAACCCCCACGGGCATTACTGAAGCGTGGTTGCTGAGTTTCTGTCTGTAGGCTCTGTCCCCCAGACCCGCTGCCATTTGCCTGAGGATTCAGTGCTTGGCTCACATTGTCTCTGTCTCCGTGGTCTTGCTGAATATCCTTCCTCTCCCTCCCGCTTCCTCAGGGCTGAATTTGCCCTCTGGGACTGGCTCACCACAGTAAACTTCACCTTCACCTTCTACATTTTCTCAGCCTCTTTTGCTAGTTCTCAGGCATCCCTTCACTGCCCTGCTTCTCTTTGTCCCTTCCAGTTGGTTCATTCACAGGAGCTAAATGGTTATGAAATCGGTGTCACTGAATATAGTTACCACACACCATCGCTGCGATGGCTTGGTCCATAGCAGCTTGTAGAGGAGGCAAACCAAGTGGGGACAAAGAAGTCGCCCTTTGGTGATGGAACACTCAGCATTACTCAAGAGGCAGTGTCTGTGCCAACACTTTCTCGAAATGCCAGTCAGGTCCATTCTTGGCTTTAGCAGATTGTGGACTGAAATGAGGCATAATATCCCGGATGCTTTGTTTCCTGAGCTTCTTTCAAAGCCGAAGCTAATAACACTTCACTTGTGTGTGGGTGCTCTGCGTGTTAAATGAGAGAGTGGCAAAGCCGGTAAAGCCAGACAGAAGCCCCTGCCACAGAGGAGTTTTCTTTCTAGGAGAGAAAGACAGTGGTAAAGACACCTGCCCTAGTGTCTAGGATGTAAGAAGTGCTCCTTACCTGTAACCTTTGTTCTAATTTGGATTCGTGTTCTATTGCTTCATAATAAATTACTGCAAAGTTAGCAGACTGAAACGATGTACATTTATTATCTTATAATTCCTGTAGATCATAAGTCTGGGCACAGCAGCCACTAGTGGGTCCTTTGCTCTGATTCTCACAAAGCTGAAATCAGGAGTTGGCCGGGCTGTGTCCTTATCTGTGGCTCGGGGTTCTTCTGCAAGTTCGTGCAGGTTGTTGGCAGAATTCTGCTCCTGTGGTTGTCAAGCTGAAGTCCCAGTTCCCTTGCTGGCCGGTTGGTGGTTGCACCCGGCTCCTGGAGACCACCCCCCATCTCCAGCACATGGCCTCTTACCACACAGCAGCTACTTCTTAAAGCCAGGGGGAGAGTCTTAGATTACATACCACCTTGTGGAATGTGTGCATGCGCGACACACACACACACAGACACACACACACACACACACACACACACACGGACACACGTATTGGTTACCCAAGACCATTGAGATTCTTGAGGAGGAGGGCACCAAGGAGTTGCTGGAGATAGTGCTGTGCACCAGATGGGCAGTGTGTGTTGCTTGAGTGGCACTGGGTCCTTGCTGGTCCAGCCCTGGGCCGGATCCCCTGCCCACCCCCCGCAGCCCCCTGAACCGGGCATTTAATTTCCTCTCATGTTCTGTGCTTAACTGTTCTTTTCCACATGCAGCCGCAGTGTCAGTGTGGCTAAGACTGGAGCCAGCACTCCTCCACCAGCACTGAGGACTCGTGCCAGCCCAGGTCGTTGCCAGGCTGTATTTCTGCGTGGTCTCCGCTCAGGTGTCCCCTTCTCAGTGAGTCATCCCGGAACACCCTGTTGGAATTTGTCTTACCTGCCACCCCCTCTCCCTTGCTTCCAGCCTGCCAGCTGCTACTTTATTTTTCACCAAAGTAGAACTTGCTGCCATCCAACACAGTTCATATTTTTCTTCTTGCTTATTTGTCTTTCTCTCCTAGAAAGGAAGCTCCTCCGTGGCAGGGACTTCTGTCTGGCTTCTCATTGCTCCACCCCCCCAGGGTCCAGCACAGACACAAGTTTCTAGTAGCACCTTGGTGGCTTTTTGATGGATGCATAGGTTGTAAGAACCGGCAGCGTTCTTTAAATTGTTTAATTCAAGTATAATTCATATACAGTGTTATCTTAGTTCCACGTGTGCAATATGATGATTCAACAATTCTGCACATTATCGGTGCTCATCGTGATAAGTGTACTTGAAATCTCCATCACCCGTCCCCCTTCCCTTCGCCTACCTCCCCTCTGATGACCACCAGTTTGTTCTCCATAGTTCAAAGTCCGTTTTTCGTTTGTCTCTTTTTTTCTTTGTTCAACCAGCAGCATTTTTTAAGCACACACTTTGGTGCTTTGCTATTTGTTGGTTGATTAAAGCAGGTTAAACAGATCATCTTCTGTCACCAACTTATGGGAGCATCTCGTGGCAATCGTAACGAGTTCTACCTGGTACGTACAAGTCCGTGTCGTGGGCTGTGGGAGGACTGGGTGGGAAAACATCTGTGTCCTGTGGAGAACGTGTGTGTGTGTGTATCTGGTTCTGCTGGTGGTGGTGGTTCAGCCGGAGTCACTCAGCTCAGTTGGTCCTTGAAATGATGGAGGATTTAGCGGCAGTCAGGGGCTGGGGAGCTAAAAAGACGCAAGCTCTGGGAGCCAACCAAGGACAAACAGCACCGGAGCTCAGGCTTACTGAGTTTCACTTAACTCCTAACTCACCATCTTAACTAGTCTTCACTTATATTTCCTAGGGAGCTATTTTCTACACATTTTTCTTCATTTAACAAGCCAGTTTGTACTGGACTTACCTACAAATTCAGTGTCCAGGATCCGGGATCAAACTGTGTATTTCTCCCAGCGATTTTCTTTTAAGAGAAGAAAACTGACAGGAATGTAGATCACAGCTCTATGACCATGTAAAGTGACTAAGAAACAGCCCACCTTGCTCCTTTTCCCCCACTCACGACCACTTGGACTCACGTCACTGGGGTGAAAGTTGCTCTGTAAATTCCAAAATGCAAACCAAGGGGCTTCAGCTTTCATGGTAGTCTCTCTTTTCCACAAAAAAGATTGGGGGGTGGAACAATAAAGGAAGCTAACTTGACACTTTAGAGTCCACACTGAGTCCTGAGGCCCCCTCCCGCCTCAGGCACCGGGGAGGGGACAGCCTCAGCAAGAGCAAGGACAGCCCCGTGAGCAGATTAGAGAAGGACGATGGCCGTAGAACTTACAGCGGTCATTTAAAGAGGTCCTGCCGGGGCGCCTGGGTGGCTTGGTGGGTTAGGCCTCTGCCTTCGGCTTGGGTCATGATCTCAGGGTCCTGGGATCGAGCCCTGCATCCGGCTCTCTGCTCAGTGGGGAGCCTGCTTCCCCCTCTCACTCTCTGCCTGCCTCTCTGTCTACTTGTGATCTCTGTCTGTCAAATAAATAAATAAAATCTTTAAAAAAAAATAAAAAAAAAATAAAAAAAATCTTTAAAAAAAAATAAAATCTTTAAAAAAAAATATTTATTTAAAAAAATTAAATAAAAAATCTTTAAAAAAAATAAATGGGTCCTGCCCCCCCCCCCCATTTTACTGGGAAACTGCAAAAACTCCGTTACGGGAAACTGAGGCTCACAGAGGTTGAATAACTTGTCAGAAGTCCCACAGCCATTAGGTGGCGAGACTAGGACTGACCCTCTGTGCCATCCGACTTCATAACTCAGGGGACTTGCCAGTGTGGGATGCCCCTCTCCTGCCCCTCATCATGGTGGGGGTTGGGCACTTAGCGGGACCTACAGAGCACAGACACAGGCCCGTGGCTGAGTTTTCTTCCAGTTGCAGAGCGGGTGGGTTTCCTGCGGGTCTTTGGTAACAGGCCTCACCAGAAGGTGGTCCAGCACATGGGGATGTGGAGGCAACACGGCACTTTGAACGATGCCGGTTGCGTCCGTCTCAGTACTTTTATGTCTGGGCGTCCAGACTGACAGCGGTCGGTTCCGTCCTTGGCCCTGAAATCGGCCTGGATCTCATGCCTGGTTCCGTTTGCCTTCCCAGCCGGACACTGAGCAGCCTCTGCCCCTCTCTCCTGCAGATGCCGCCCGTACGAGGACTGCTGTGGCTCCAGGTGCTGCGTGCGGGCCCTCTCCATCCAGAGACTCTGGTATTTTTGGTAGGTCTCAATTCTTCCTGGTCTCCAATGCTTTGCTGTCCCTCCCGCCTCCTGCCCCCCAGAGCCGCGGCCACACTCAGTATTACCACATCACCTTCCCCTGGGGTCTCGGTTGCGGGGACAGCCTCGGTCAAGAGAACAGGTATGTTCAGACCGGCTTCATGATGAGCTCTTCTGCTCCCAGTTTGCAGGAAGCTCGTTCCCATTTTCACAGGCTGTGGCTGGGAAAGAGGAGCCCATCTGTTGGAGGGTGGGCGGGCGGGATGGTAGTGTTGTCCCTTCAGCAGCCCCTGGTTTCTGAGATGGAGCTGAGGGTGATTAAAAGACTGAGAATTAGCAAATCTCGCTCTCAAGTCCCCGCTGCCTGAAAGCCATTCCCATTCATGCTGTGTCAGCTGAAGCTAACTTTCGGGACAGACAGCCTGCTGCCGGCCTTCCAGCTCTGCTGAGGGAAATCGGGAGTTGTGTGAAGTCTGAAGAATTCTACCTCGAGAGGGAACGAGGGGTACTGCTGACAGAGCATCCCGGAAGGCCAGAGGTGTGGTTTCCAGTAACACTGGGAGAGCCCATGCATTGCTGTCCTCGGGGGATGCCCGTCTGGGGGTATATCTGAAAATTTATTGGACACTCCAGATGAGATGCTGCTTCAGATCCCAGGGACGGCAGGGCCCGGGTGGGAGAGGATTTGCCTGAAGCCAGCAGGGCATTTCCTGCGCTCACCCTCCTCTGTTCCCCTGCGGTGGGGCTACCCTCCAGGCAGACTCCCAAAGCTTCTGGATGACTTTTGGATCTGACATCACTGGCTTCCAGAGACTTTAAGGCTTCTGCTGAGCATACTACAGTAGCCATTTGACATTTTTTGAGGTTTTCTCGTTCCCTTCTGACAACTTTTACCGATTTTTGATTAGGGAAAACACCTGTGAGTGGGGATTCCACATGTCACGTTGTCTTTGATAGAAGAGGCTGGTCTCCTGTCACTGTCACCGCCTCCTGGATGGGGGATCAGTCATTTGGGGGCTCAGCTCACCTGTCATATCTGACCCTACCCTGGCCTCCCTCGGGGCTGGCTTTGGCATCCCCTGTCTGGATGTCACCACTTCTGGCAAGCTCTCCTGAGCCAGGTGCCATGTTGGTGCCTAAAACTCTATAAATGAAGGTAAATGTTTTTTGGCTCAAGATTTTCTAACTGCAAGCATTTTGGGGTGCACTTTAAAGTGGAGTGGATTAGTACCACAGCACGGACAGGAGGACCAGTGAGTGGGGGGGCTTCCAGAGCTTGGCCTGGCTTCACACATACTGGCCCTCAGAATTTTTCCTCCATGGGGCCTTGTGTAGTACAACAAGACCAGACTGCCTGGGACAAGAATCCTGAAATAGCCAGCTTGCCTAAAGCACCAAGTGTTCCTAAAAATGAAAAAAACTTGTCAAAGTTTAGATATTATGTGATTTTTTTTTTTTTTTTTTTTAATTGAGAGTCCAGGGACGCCTGGGTGACTCAGTGGGTTAAGCCTCTGCCTTTCACTCAGGTCATGATCTCAGGTTCCTGGGATTGAGTCCTGCAATGGGCTCCCTGCTCAGCGGAGAGCCTTCTTCTCTCTCTCCCTCTGCCTGCTGCTCTGCTTACTTGGGCTCTCTCTCTCTCTCTCTCTCTCTCTGTGTCAAATAAATAAATAAAAGTCTTAAAACAAAACTGAGAGTCCAGGGGGCAACTGGGTGGCTCATTCAATTAAGCATCTGACTCTTGATTTCAGCTCAGGTCATGATCTCAGGGTCACAAGTTGGAACCCTGTGTTGGGCTCCGTGCTGGACATGGAGCCCGCTTAGGATCTTCTCTCTCCCCGCCTGGCATCCCCCCCCCCCCCCCCCCGTGCTCACTCTCTTGAAAAAAAAAAAAAAAGAGTTAAAAAATCGAGAGTCCAGGAAAAATATGAAGGCCTGGAAACTAGAGCATCTTCTGTTGGCTTTCCCAGGAAGCTTTACCTGAACCAGCAGTCAGGTGCCATTGAGCCCCTGGCCAGGGCCCCTTGTCAGAGTTGGGGCACATTAGTAAGATGGCATGTGGTGAGCTAGTGGGATCCCTACAAAGAGACATCTTGTGAGTGCCATCAAACAAGGAGTGACAGGGGCGCCTGGGTGGCTCAGTGGGTTAAAGCCTCTGCCTTCGGCTCAGGTCATGATCCCAGGGTCCTGGGATCGAGCCCCACGTCCAGCTCTCTGCTCAGCGGGGAGCCTGCTTCCCCCTCTCTCTCTCTGCCTGACTCTGCCTACCTGTGATCTCTGTCTGTCAAATAAATAAATAAAACCTTAAAAAAAAAAAAAAAGGAGTGACTGATGACAGATGTGGCCAAGTTATTAGTGTTGAGATTCTGACCACATGTTCTAAAATGGGGATATAGCCAGAAAATACCTTGAGGCATAATTTTGAGGCGCCCCAGCTGAAGTCAGAGGATGCCTGGGTTCTTCCTACTCAATGCATTTCTTCTTAGGGGTTTACGGGTCTGGTATGCACCAGGCCCCCCTGGAGAGGTACTTACAGTAGGCTCCTAAAAGAGACAGATGTCTTAATAGGTAATTATATGTGGAGAGTTTTATTATTTTTTTAACAGATTTATTTTTATTTTTACTTTTATTTTTTTTAAGATTTTATTTTATTTGACAGAGAGAGATCACAAGTAGGCAGAGAGGCAGGCAGAGAGAGAGGGGGAAGCCAGCTTCCTGCTGAGCAGAGAGCCTGATGTGGGACTTGATCTCAGGACCCTGAGATCATGACCTGAGCCGAAGGTAGAGGCTTAACCCACTGAGCCACCCAGGTGCCCCAGATTTTTTATTTATTAGAGAGAGAAAGAGCATGGCAGCAGGGAGCAGAGGCAGAGGGAGAAGCAGACTTCCTGCTGAGCAGGGAGCCCGATGCAGGGCTCCATCCCAGGACCCCAAGATCACGACCTGAGCCAAAGGCAGATGCTTAACCAACTGAGCCCTCCAGGCACCCACGGACATGGAGAGTCTTAAACCAGTGTTTAAATCAGAGTGTCTGATGCCAGAAAAATGGGGAAAAGCTGACAAATCTTCTGACCGGGTCTCATTGAGGGTGTTCTGTGCAGAGGGGCCAGCACACTGATAGGGCAGAGACATAAGAAGAGCCGATGTGGTGAAAGTGGCAGGAAACTCATGTGGGGCGCAGGTGTTTGGGGGAGAGGGATAGGGGATGGGAGTACAGAGCTGGACATGGAGGGAAGCAAGGGCTGCTCTCCAACCCGGGTCCCACCTTGTTTTCGAAGAAGTCTGTCTACTTACCATAGGACGAAGCTTTTGGAGGAAAATGCTTTCAAACCTCCATGCCAGTTCTAAAATATCAAGTAATGTTTAACCAACACTGTTTGAATGAGATTATTCGGATTAGAACAACTAGACCGAGAGCACCCTTGCTTCAGCTGGGAAGCTTGCTGGGAAGGAGGCAAACCAGACAGGGTTCTGCCCATGAGCCCTGCTGCTGGGGGCTCCCACTCCTGCAGAGTTGTCCTGGGAGAGAACCAAGTGCTGGGGGGAGGGCAGAAAGGGTTTGGGAAAAACAAATGGGACTGAACAAACCAGCTTACTTTTGATAATAGAAAAGGCAGGAACTTCCTCTCTTAATCCCTGGAAAGCTCCCCAGACCTGCTCAGCAGTCAGTCCTGAGTACTTCAGAGAACGGCCCTTCTAACTGTACCACTCCTTTTCCCTAACCGAGGTCCTGCTTTCTTTCTTTCCTTGTTCCTATATGCTCATTTCCCTGTTCCTTATCAGTTTCTCTCTTAAAATGAGTTCTTTCAGACTAACATTTCAGTGAGGAATGATGTTGATGATTGATACCGAAGCCTGCCATTGTTTCCTGCCGTGTGACTTTGTTCTGTCCCTGCCTCGTACTTGCCAGCAGTCTGAAGTAGGAGGAGCACTATCGTTCTTACTCGGCTGAGAGAAGAAGAATTCCCTTTGACAGTGTAAACCATGTTTCAGCTTATCTCAGGGAAGAGACCCATAGCTCAGACGCCTTGTGTATTTTCCAATCCGGGGAGCCCGGTCTGTCGGGAGTGAGTGGTAGTGTTACTTGAAAAGGCAAACCCTTACATACAGTCGGCCCCTCTCTCTGCTTTCTATTTCTGCTCAGATACTTACAGTTGGCCCTGCTGGTGAATGTAAGATTATAACTGAGTCCACCCGAGGGAAATTAGCTTTAAGAGCTGCAACAGTTCCCCTGTATTCCAACGCCCCAGCGCTGAGATGCCAGGCCCCGGCACGGTGGGGGTTCTTGAGCTCCCCGGGAGCTCCCCAGGACGGGGGCCCACAGCCATCCCCTGGGGCCGCTTGCTTACCCAGCTTCCTGCTGGAGCACAGGAGCCGTTCTCTCCACCTGGAACATGCCTTCCCTCCTCTGCAGCTTGCCGCTTGCTTTCCGTCCTTCAGAACTCAGCCCAGATGTTGAAGGGAAGCACGTTTTTCTGATTGCCTCACTCTAACACATACCTTTGTTTAAAACCGCTTCCTTCACTGACTTGTACACTTAAAAATGGTGACAATGGTCAGTTTTACATTATGTGTATCTTACTATGTACACACGCACACCCCCCCACCCCATGACTGCACCGTCACTTTTCTTTCTTAGCACTGACCAGAGCTATAAATCACTGATTTTGTAAGTTTGCTGTTTGCTCTTCCCTCCTCGACCAGAATTCAGGTTTAATGGGTGGGGAGGGACCTCACCGTACTCTCTCTAACGCACAAGAGCAGAGCAGCTGCTTAAAAATTGTTGAAGGTGTAATGAATTAGGAGACAGGTCAGAAAGCCACAATTTCGGCCCTTTCCTGAATCATTTCCTGTCTGGTGCCTCTGATCTTTCTTCCTATTCCACATTCCAATGTTGTCTAGTAAATCCTGATTGACTGACGGACTTGCACTTAACATCGTCTTAAGAATCTTAAATTCTTTATCATCTGCTTTTTTCTTCAATTTCATTTCTGTGTGGTCAGGTGCCTTTAACCATGATGCAGCTGGCTCTGCTGCATGTTCATCTTTCACAGGGTGATAAGCTGCCCACATAGTGTGGGTATATTGGGTGAGGTTCTGGAAGGTTCCCTGAGTCCCATAATACTGTCAGGTCAGAGAGAGGCAAGATTTTCCCAGCTATGTCTGTGCAGGACAGACAGGGTGGCTCTTCTCAGTATGACCTCCCCTGTTTCTAGAAAGACAAGGTACAGTGCAAATGTGAGGTGGGAAGAAGCTATTTATCCATTTGTCAGTCAGTTATCAAATGCCAGCAATGTGACAGACCCTGAGAATTCTTAGATCTGAGTCGGACAAAGGTCCTGCCATTAAACCAGTCAGACTTTAAGGTCACGGTAGGAGAATGTCAGCCAGACTTAAGAGATTTCTCATCTGCAGCTTTTTTATTGACTATATTTTCTCTGGTCCTGTAGGTTTTCTGTAATTAAGGTGTGCTCTAGGAAGGCCGCCATTTAAAATTTGACTATTGATGTAATAATGGAGAGAAAACTGCTAGGAAGGACAAATATGCTTATCCTTGCTGCTCTCCCCGTGAAGAAGGGAAAGTAGGGGACACGGACAGTGAGGAGAGCTGGGTCAGCCGTGGCTTGCGTTCAGACGAGATTGAGAAGCCATCTCCAGTTTTGACTAAAAGGACTGAGCTGGGGTCCGAGCCATGGACAGAAAGTGATCGATCAAGCCTTTGAAGGCAGCTAACCAGCTGGAGCATTTTGAGATGGAAAGCTCACTTAGCCTCTCTATGTGAGCGAGCTCTGCTCAGGGACATCCCAGGAGCCCTCCCAGGTTCCACCCACCCAAGAACGTCCTGGTGGAAACGTCAGGGGAAGGCCGGCCTGAGGAGCCAGGTGCTGGGCCCCTAGGATCCCTTCACTCGCGAGTCCCTGTTCGCGGCTCCCCGAGTCCTAGGGCCCTGAGCCTGGGCCAAGCCACGGTGGGCCGCGAGCAGCCCCTCCCCGCTGTGCTCTCGCTCAGGTTCCTGCTGATGATGGGCGTGCTCTTCTGCTGCGGAGCCGGCTTCTTCATCCGGAGACGCATGTACCCACCGCCGCTGATCGAGGAGCCTGCATTCAACGTGTCCTACACCCGGCAGCCCCCGAACCCCGCACCAGGTCAGCCCAGCCCTCTGTCCTCGTCTCTTCTTTCTGTCGTGTTTGTGTCCCCTGCAAGCGTCCGGAAGGGTCCCTGCTACCATGTGGGCTGGAAGCAACAATTCAGGCCTCGTGTGTTCATTTCAGTTCTGCTGATGGGCCTCACTGCGCGTCTGCGCTGATGAAGCTGCGGCGTCTGTTGGATTGTACCTCTGTCACCTCGCATTCTCACCCAAATCTTGGCGCACCTTTTATGCGTATATGTGCGGTTCCTATATGCACCCTGTTGGCTGTTTTCCCTTAAAAACTATTTCATGTCTCAGTTTCTGTGTACAAACAAGAGTGTCCTTGCCATTCCTGATGCACTGGGACTAGATACTGATTTTGCCACTAAGTGGTGATTTGCTTAGATAATCTGTCATTGCTGATCATTTGTTTCTCTTGCTTGGATGTTTATTCATTCATTCAATTATTTATGCAATCTACTAGTATTTGGGATGCCTCAGAATAGTGCTGCCGCGGACATTTCTGTACCAGTTCCATGTGGCCTCGTTAGGCAGCATTACCCAAAGTGATGCCACAGAGTCAAAAAAAAATTAGTGGTCTCTTCATTTTTACAAAATTGCTTTAACTATCAAACCCTCAGGTACTGTGGTGGGTGAATTCAAGCTTCCCTGGGGACACACGCTGGTTCCCTATTTTTGACATGATGTGTGAGATGTTTCCCTCCCCTTTGAGGGAGCCTTCTGAGGAGGAGGGGGTAGAGGGTGGCTCGGCATTGCCGTCAGAGTTCCTGTCTTTTGGCCTCTGTGTGTGAGGCCAGGCGGCGGGCATCTCCGGTGCACACCACAAGTGGACAGAACTCTAGGAGCAGTTCCTGCCATGGTTTTTACGTCTAGAGATGCACTGTACACTATGGGGCTTGTAGTTGACAGCCCTGGTAACCTAAAATGTTGTGAGGAGGGTAGATCTACCTTCAGTGTTCTTACCCTCATAATCATAAATTTGGAGGTAATGCATAGATTTATGGCTTATATCGCAGTGATGACTTCACAATGTATGTTTATCTCCAGACTCACCAGGTTGTAGACGTTAACAGTGGTTAGCTTTTTGTATGTCAGGCATAACTCAAAAAAGTTGTCTAAAAACAAAAAGAATTAGGGGGATTTAGTGTAAAAAGTTTTCTCTCTGCTGTTCTCACGATGCAAAGGGAGTGAGGATGGACATCTGTTGATTCGTTTTTTTTACACCAGATACTCCCCAGCTTTTTTTTTTTTTTTAAGAATTGTCTTTATTATTTTTTTAAATGTTACTAAAAGATCTGAATATGGATTTCCCGTAACAGTTCAGAAGTTGCTGTACATTAAATTTTCAGGCGAGGTAGCATGACTTTTCACGTGCAGGTGGATTTTTAATCTTTACTATTTGGGAATATTTGAATAGCTTCAAATTTACTCTCTAGCATAGGGTGAGGTGCAAATTTTCAGATAAATTCGGGGAGGGTGCAAAATTAGATTTCATCTGGATTAACCTGAGTCAGTCCTTTGATTTTTGTTTTTTTCTTTTCTGAGAACGAAACGGTAGATCAGAGAAATGGGTCAAAGACTTACAAATTCCTCTATTTTTTTTTTTCTCCCTGTTAGCACTATGTCAATTCATAGTACAGGGAAAAGCAGTCCATGTCCCACGTGGCCACAGATGCAAGACGCCACATGTCCTTTGCCATGGTGCTGTCAGGTCTGTCGTCCCTTTACGGTCAGGGTGAATGCTGAGAGCAGGAGGAATTCCAGCTGCCGGCCACATAAGACCCTTTGAATGTCTGTGGTGTCTCGGTATTTCCAAATGAGGACGCTGTGTGTCCCCCATGTACCATCTTTCCTCATTCTGCCTCTTTCCTGCATCTCAGTGCACCCCAGCTGGTCCTCAGTCCCCTTATCAACCACACCCAATAAACAGGCATCAGACCCTCCCCAGTCTTATCTCAGACTCTTACCCCTGAGCAATGGCTGCTGAAAGTTTCGCAGTCACTGGTGTCTTCCAGCTCTTTGTCTACCACAGTGCCACTGGAAAGGTCTTTATAAAAAAAATTAAAAAGCACACAGGTCATGTTATTCTTGTGCTTTAAGGTTCTCCGCCAGCTCACTTTGTTCCCTGCAAGTCCGCACTCCTTAGCCAAGGACTCAGAAGCCTTTACAGCCTCATGCTTCCACCCATGGCCTTACTTCTGCTCAGTGGCCTGTGTGAGCCACCTGCTCTCACTGTTTGCCTGGAAAATGCCCCCTTGGTGAACTTGTCCCAGACCGTCTCCCTTCATTGCCCTTCTCTCCTGGGTGCTTTGCCATGTGCTTTAACAGCACTGGTTGGGGTGAGTTTTAATCCCTTTTGTCTACTTTGGACCCCCCACGAGCCTTGCGTCAGTAGGATTTATATCTCAGGCACCAGGCCAACTCCTTTCTGCTGAGGGAACCGGCCAGCCTGGGATTGGGGTTTACTGTGGCCACACTCGGAGCCAGGAGCCCCGGCCGGCTTGAATTGCTCACTTAGCCTGAGTATGCCGCAGCACTTTCGAGGGACATGGCGCAGCCTGGGTTCCAGCCCTCACTCACCCACTGTTGTGGGGTGCATTGCGTAGTTTGCACAGCTGGGAGTGAAAGCCTGTGCAGTTGCACAGATGACTGTAGAGTCACCAACCATGGTGAGGGCTGTGGAGGAGAACTTCGGGATACAGGGAGAAGCCATGTATGTGGGAGGCTGCTGCCGTACGGGGAGGTGGGAATGCCTGTTTAAGTGGGGGTGAGCGGGGAAGGAGTGAGGGACCAGGACGTGGACAGAGAGGCCCCTGGGGGTCTTCCTTCCCCTCCAGCCTTTAACACGCCCAGAGCTCCAAACACCTGTTGTCCATCCCAGGACCATGACATCCCCTGAGGACACTACTGAAGGCGGCGTAAACGTAGGAATCTGGGGCAGGAGAGTCCCCAGTAAAAAACTGTCCCTTTGTAGACGGCAAAGAAAGCCCAGAAACACCAGGGAGCGGCTGTTGTGGGGGATGAAGCAGAGCCTCTCCAGCGTCTCAGGGAGTGTGGTTGAGCCCACTCCCCTGTGGTCGGAGGCATTCAGAGTAGTGGGAGCCACTCCGTGCCCTCCAGGCCCCCTCCTGATGCATTTCCGTGGCAGCTGCGTGCCAGAGCCCCTCACACCTGCCCCCTCTGCCCGGTAGCGAGTCCTCGCCGTCTTTCTTCCGTTTGTGCACCTCATACGGGCCTGTAGCCCTATGCAGCCGTCAGTCCCAAAATACACCGTAGTATCACATGAGGGCAGGCTGGCTTTGTGCCGCGGGCGTGCGCAGTTTCCATAATTTCACGACCAGATCAAGGTCTGTGCCATTTGCTCACAGCACTGAGCTTGGAAGCAGTGTAAGTGCTTTGATTTGATCCTTTAGAACTAGTCATAAAAAAAATAGGGCCTGTTGGCTTTTTAGCGCTTCCAGGTACATACCCGTCTCACGCTGTCTGTGGGTTTCATCCCCTCCGAGGCGGTTTCTCGAGATCCTGTAATGCTCGGGGCACCGTGCCCCTGGGGGTGTGCAGTAGGAGGAAGGCCGTGCAGAGCTCGGACGTCTATCAAGAGAAACTCAGTGCACTAACGTTACACGGTAGGCTCCCAGGATAGATCTTATGCCCAGGAATAGACCACTCCGTGCTCAGGAGCACAGCATATTCGTGAAACACGAGACAGTGTTCATGGATCTGCTGGCGGGGGGGGGGGGGGGCGCCCCAGTTCTCTTCTGCTGGCCGGGGGGGGGGGAAGTAGATTCTGGCGAGCTTTGCTTCTTTGTGAGGAAGAAGCAGCAGAAGGTTTTAGAGAACCCATACTCCTGCACAGGATGGGGGGAGAGTCGAGGCCCATGTCCTGATATGCAGAGGGACACACAGTGGCGTTCCAGCCATGACCAGCATCCCGGTGCAGCGTGGCCGAGTGAGGAAAGGCAGGTCTAGGCATTGCAGAGATCGCTCCTAACTGGGGCAAGGGGAAGGCTGTGACAGCATCGTGGTTTTAGGGGGCTTTGGAGCAAGACCTGCGGGGAGAGGCTGACAAACCAGGTGTGCAGCTGAAGTTCGGAGGTGGGCTCCAACAAAAGCAGAGGCTGAAGCCCAAGGCTGTAGCTCATTTGGGCCTCGAGCTAGGTGGGGGGTGTTGATATTTGGGGAACAAAAAGAGGCACCTGGACAGGGGGTTAGGAGGCCTGAGGTCTATGAATTCACAGTGGGCCACTGTCTTTTTTGAGCTTAGGCACTTCAGCTGCAAAATGGAATCATATGAAGAAAAGCAGTCCTTGTTTCAGTTTAGTCTTTAAATACAGAGGTAGCCAAAATGTCACTGGAGAAAGTCAGAGCTCCCTAAATGCTGTAGGCCCTCCACCCCGTAAAATCTTTCCACATCATGCTGCTGGCAGGGTCTGTGGATATGCCGTCCTGGGTAGAGAGGAAGGATAGACTTCCTTCTTTCATTCAGAAAGTGCAAGCTAACTGGCAGCACAGGAGCAGAGGTAGGACCAAGGTGTCCTCACTGCTGCCCTTGAAGAACTTGTAGAAAGAGGGGTTTGGGAGGAAGGTCAAAAGATAGAAACTTCCCGTAATAAGGTAAATAAGGTCTGGGGCCTATAGTTAATACTTTGTTGCATATTTGGAAGCTGCTAAGAGGGTAGATCTTAAAAGTTCTCATAAAGAAAAAAATACATAACCGTGTTACTGTAGTGGTCATTTTACAATATAAACATAGATCATTATGTTATATCTTAAACGATGTTCCAGGTCGATTATACCTCGATAAAACTGGAAGAAGAAAAAAAAAAAACTTTTAGAACAATGGGAAGAAAACCTAAAAGCCTTGGCTAAAGCAAGGCCGTGGGCCTGGAGGAGAGCAGGGGCTGGGCTTCTGGAAGCCCTGAGTGGCGGTCTCGACCAAACTTGGTGTGTGCAGGATGAATGTAGGGAAGGGGGCGCTAAGAGGCCCACCAAGGA